GGTTCCTGGGCCGGTGTAATGTCCAGTCTCGTAATACTGATACTCAACTCGCCCTTCACTTCTAATCTTAAACCTTCCCCATAAGACACCTCATATAGTGGGGGACATATTGAGCATGGAGGGTAGGGCCCTAAACCCTAAACCCCTAGACCCTAAACCCTAAACCCTGGTGGGTGCTTAGTATCAGTATCAAGTGATTACGTTCCTTGTTCTGGGGTACAGAAGCGGGAGCCCAAATCTGACAAAACTCCCTCGTCCCGTGCAATGAGGAGAGTACCGCTATCAGTGACTCACTGATTCCGGACACGCGGATGCTCTGGGTTACTATGTCAGACAGAGAAGACCTCAGGTAATTCCAAAACACCGTGGTGTTCAGAGCCAATGTTATTTCTAAGTTCCCCGGAACCCTGGTAAAAATCGTCATGTCAGCTGGTTCTTAGGATTATGAGTGAGAGACTAAATATTAGTGATGGAAACGAAACGCATGTTTATAATACTGTTGCATATTCGGGCTTCCTGACCAGACAATGCGATTTCAACATCCTGTGCCCCTCTGCGGGGTCCGAAGACAATACTTGAGGCGCAGCCGAGAATCGTCATGGTGGCAAAGCCCGAGATCACATAAAGAACTGTCAGAAGTAGCACGAAGGCCAAAGACAAGGTCCGAATACCTGGTTGGGTACCAAGCTCGTGGTATCTATGTTAGGTAGTGTTGTTCTCAGTACTTTTTGAACACAGCTTTCACTCCATGTTGTTCTGATGCAACGTGGGACTCTTCACGAATTCCTAAAAACCCCTAAATACACACGCCCTTGTTGTAGATGCCATGACTCGTATGAAGGGTTTTGGGGATTTCAAACGTTTCTTCCTCTGCTTGGAACCTACCATCATGTAGTAAATGGGGGTAGTAATTTGGGCCCATTAGCTCGGATACTTAAACCCTCTAAAAAGTCTCAACCGCAAGATCTCCAACCCTAAGCCGTAAACCACAAGGCGGGCTAGTGGCCGGCCACCAAGCCCTTTACCATGAGGCGCAAGTCTCGCATGACCTTCACTCGGAAAACTTTGACCTTGGATGTCTCAAGGCCTCTGGAGGTTTAGGGGAGAAGCACGCCTCCTAAGAAATCCTGAAGGGACTTGTGCGTAGGACGTTGAGAACTCTTGTGGTTTACCATAAAGCAGAGTTCGGGGGAGGGTTTGAACCATGACTTCAGAACCATACAGTTCACCCTTAACCCATATTCTATCTACTTCAGGAGGACTATATGGCAGTTTCCCAAAATAAGGGGAACCAATATAGACCCCCAAATACTATAGTGCTTATTATAGGGACCCCCAAAATGGTACCCCTAATTTTGGGAAACCCCCATACCCTAAATCATAAAACCATGTAATGTCCAGGATTCAGGGATTTGAGCTCACCATGGTCAAGGGCTCCGTAACCACCCGGTTGGGCCAAGGTAGGGTTAATGGGTTTAGGGTTTAGGGGTTTAGGGTTTATAACTTAGAACTAAATGGGGATGTCCCCAAATTGGGGGGTACCATTTTAAAGAAAGGTTTAGGGTTCAGGAGCCCTTTTCCTCCTTGCGTCAGAAACGACGCAAGGGTTTAGGGCTTAGGGTTAGGGGTTTGAGGGTTTGGGAGGTAAGGGTTACATCGGTAACCCCTACTATGGAAAATCGAAACGGATTCTAGGGTGCAAGGGGCTAGGTAGGGTTTTTGACGAAGCACTAGTGTTATCTAGAACGGTACATATAAAAGGCCATCAGGTATGCCCTTGTCATATCTTGGATTTTCCCACCTAGTGTTGAACTGAAAAGGTCTTGAACATTATAGATACCGAGCAAACAAGCAAGCTGATATAGCCCCCCTGCCAAAAGTACAGTAGTCGTGGTATATGCCAGTTTAGGCTTCCATGTTGTCTGGGGGACTGTATTCCTCACCGAAGAAATCTGCCCATTGAATTGAATACGTAAAAAGTTCCTCTCAAAGCAATCAGGACCCTAAAGTCTAAACCCCTGAAGCCTTAACCTGGAAACCCTCAACCCCAACACCGCCAAGGCCAGAAAGACGGGCGACGATGCGGACAAGGCGGATGAGCCTGCAGAATCTGAGCAAAGACCTTGGTCAACTAGGTTGCCGTTACGGAACTTGAATCAAGTTGCCATGGTATTGGTATGTAGGGTTTTGGGTTAGGCTTTATTTGGGGCTTAGGGTTTAAATTGCCATATTCTGGGTACATAGCGCATAGTGGGGCTTCCTTACTATAGTGACTTCAATTAAGTTTCTTAACGGCATTCCTGTCAACCTTTGGGAGTTTCTCAACATCTTGGGCGTGTTTTCGGATTGAACAACTTACTGCGGACATCCTGCGGGTCAAGGTCATGGGGAGCTGATTGCCCTAAGTCTACAAGTGGTTTAGGGTTTAGTGGTTTATCAAGGTTGAGGGAGACCCTTCGTAATGTGCATTATGCTGTTGGCGCTTACCCTGAGCCTGAAACGCTGACCCGACAACCATATAAGCTACAGTCTTACTGCAACTCCTACAAGCTCATATGGGAGTGTGGAAGCCTCCACGACTTCGGTTACTATAGGGTTTTTAATGCTTCAAGGCACCGTAATCAAAGGTGTCTTGCCAATCCCAATCGTGAAAGTCCTATGAAAGCCATGGACAAGTCTTTGTGAATTCTTTTATTTTTTGGGGAGGGGGGGAGGGGGGGGGGGAGTTGGTCGGGCTGTCCTGGCTACTACATAGGCCTTGTTCAGAGCTTGAATCGTTCCAGGCCAAAGCAACTCTCTGGACCTCATGCTCATAGGTGCGGGGTTAAAGGTCAAGGTAAGGATGAAAGGGGTAGAGGGTTGCCCTAAACCTACACCCTAAACCCCAAACCTCTTTAGGGTTTCGGGTCATCCTTAAGATGCTGGCAAGAGGTCTAACTTTGGATTCCTTATTGGGTTCTATTCTACTACGAATAGGACCTAGAGGGTCCAAGGACCGAAATAATAAGGCTTTAGGTCCCAAA